ATTAAGCTCTTTCTTTATCTCTTATTTCATATCAGAGAAAGTTTACAAAAGTGTGCATAACAGCTAGAGGGGTTATTATATGGACCACCATTTCATTTCTTCATGCTTTTCATATACTTCTGCCTCTGCTTGGCCAAAACTTAATCACCCTCCAAGACCTGGCTATTCGGTGATGCCTCCCAGATGCTCCCATCTGTGCCACCACTGCATTCAGTTCATACCTCCATTATACACGGTGCTATCACTATGTGTTTACCAATTTGTCTCTCTTTTACTGGATCGTAAGATCCTGGAGAGCAAGTTCAGTGAAGTTGTATTCAGATTGTTCCCCCAGTGCTTATCACTATACTTGGCACCGAAATTTCTGGTAAATAAAAATTTAGGCCTGCCACCGTGGCTCAGTGGTTAAGCTTCAATCTATGAGCCAGGAGGTCATGATTATATTCTCAGTCACGGTTCAATTCCTGGTCAGGGCAAATGCCTGGGCTGCAGGCTGGATGTCTCATAGGGGACATGCAGGAGGCAGCGGATCAATGATTCTCTCTCATTATTGATGTTTCTATCTCTTTCTCCTCTCCCTTCCTCTCTGAATCAATAAAAATATATTTCAAAGTAAAATAAATAAAAAAATTTAATGACTGCAATAACTTGTTTATAAGGGGCTAGGAAAAGAAAAATGTCTTCCTAACAGTCAAAGTGCTTTCCTACATCAAACCTGTACATGATGTCTGTGGTTTTTTGGCTAAAGAAAAACTCACCCTGATAGTTTGAATAATAATAGTTTGTTAAATTAGCAGATTCAGGAATAAAAAAGCACTTAATGATAGTTTCACTTTTGCAAGATGAATAGTTTTGAGGATGGGATGCACAATAATATGAATGCACTTAATAGCACTGAATTGTACACTTAAGAATACAGTTAATTGACTAATGGCCTAAGGAGGGAAGACGTTTACTTCAGTACTAATTTATACTAATTTATAAACCAGATATTGTATGGAGCATTGAGTGAACTCGGATGTACGAAGTTGCATCTGTAATTTAATTAAAATTAGTGACTTATTAAAACTAGATGATTTTAGAAATAAGAAAAATCATGGAAAAGAAAAAAGCATTAACCAAGTTAGAGGAAAAAAACTAAGATCAGAACCCAGGTTTTATTAAGAATGAAAGGGCTCTCTTAAAATAGTAGTGGGCGCGCGCGCGCGCACACACACACACACACACACACACACACAACTAGCACATTACAATCCCAAACAATTCAATAAGTGAAGATTAGCGTGTAATGCATTAATACTTCAGGTAGGAGTTTGCATAACTGGGTTATCTAGGCTCTACCTGTGAGATATCAAACAAATATGACACACTGTAATGCTATACTACCTACTGGGATTAACGTGAGAATCAAACCAAAGCCTTATTACAAATGGAATGTGTAATCATCTTCTCCAACCTCACTTCTCCAGATTCTCCAAGTCTCTCAGCAAGGTTCCCATTATTCTTTGGGGGTGAGGGACTAGGTGGAGTTCTGTTGTTCTTGTTTTACGCAAGGAAGAGGCGGGAGAAGAGGAAAAAAGGTATGAAAGTTGTTCATAATGAGCAAATAACTTCTTCCCAAAACAAAGGATTAACCATACCTCCTTATCAATGAAAGACAGAATCATAAGCTCTATAAACTGCTCATGTTAAACTTTTTCCCCAGTGACGGCCCTGTAAAACTTTTGACCTTTAGCATATTTCAGGAAATTATACAATAGTTACTTGGATGTACATTTACCTTTCCTACTCTACTGCAGATATGTGTAATTAAGGACTCAGTATTTAACCTTTTGGAGTTGTTTATGGATTGTCTTAATTGAGTCAATATTCAGTTACAATATAAAGCTAGGTGGCTGGAGTTTTGCATAAGAGAACTGGTTGAAAGGAAGAAATGAATGAAAAAATAAACAAGAATTTTATCTCCCTTTGACTTCTCCCAACCTCTATCATTTATTTCTAAAGACCTAGGTAGAAGCCCTCTACTTACTAATTAATATTCTATGTCTGCATGTTTATTTATAAGTATTTTTATATTGTTAACACTTTATAAAAATAGTGTTTTCACCCCAGGCATGAAAATACAGAGTGGGGCAAAAGTAGGTTTACAGTGGTGAGTATGCAAGGGTTTATTCTTACATTATTATTTATTAGTTATAAAATTTTCCATATGAACACTAAACCTACTTTCATCCCATCTTATATTGAGGAAAGTATACCAAATGGGTATTTTTTTTTCAAAGTTAACTCATTTGGCAAACAAATCTTGTGCAAAATATTCATCATAGAAAACATGTGCAAAAAAACATTTAAAGAGAAAAAAAATGTGCATTATGTGAATTTCCATTTAGAATCTCATTTGCATATATAGTATAATCGTAATAATATTTTAACTTTATAATCAAAGTAGTTGTGAATAAAAATCATAGGTTTAAGTTTTTCCTACACTATGTCAGAAATAGAATATCCTTGAGACAATGCATAGCTACAAATACCAGAATTCATGTATCTTCACCACCTAATTAACAGAAACTTTTATTACAGTACAAAATAATGTAATATCCATTTTCTCCCAAATTTCTTAAGAATCACTAGGGGGAGCCTATTAAAAATACAGACTACCACATTTCTCCCCAGAAATTCTGATTCAATTGCTCTGGGCAGGACAAAAATTTTTATTCCTCAAAGCGACTGGATGATTAGCTAAGTTTGGAAAACACTGATCTAGTAGAGTAGTTCTCAAATTACCAGGTATGAGCATAACTTGAGCTTTTAAAAACCTTAAACGCAGGCTGAGGTTTAGATATGGCAATGACATCAACACGTTTGAAAAAGCTCTCCATGGATGACTGAGAACCAGATCTTGGAGAACTTGAACTATTCTTGCAGAACCCTCTTATCAATTAAGAAAGGAGGCTTGCTCAAGTTCACAAAGCTAAATGGTACCAGCTAGAACCATTTCTCCTGACTCCTAATTCACTTTGTTTTTTTAATGTAGTTGTTTTGTTTTCTCATGTAGGTTGACAAAAAAAAAAGTGTGGAAAACACATCTTTTTGCCTCAGATTAATGCTGCCCCTTAATAAGCTAACCTTATTTCAGAAATTACTAGAAAACATTTTCTTAGTCCTAATAGAAAATAAGCTTACTACTTAATCTTTGTTTCCTACTAAGCTGTTAATATAGCTTACAGAGAATTCTTTAAAATTATTTTTAACTTCTGATTCAGTGTTTCAAATTTTCATTATTTTTTAAGTTCCTTACTAGCAAAATTATTTTGACACCTGAATTTGGTGACATGGTTTCGTCAATACATAAAATACATAATTCTACATATTGTGAACAGAGAACAGATTTTCTTCTTCCACACACACAAAAATGATTTTAGGCTCCTATGCAAAACCTCATCCTTGGCTCGTCTACAGATATTGAGTGGGAAACTTCTCAACCCATTCCTAGAATTTTCTTGATAATGTAAAAATAAATCATGAAAAATGTCAAGTGCAAGCTTATGTACAGGTAACTTTTAAGTGCTTACTTTCCAAAAATTACTGTTTAAATGCTTTCTGGCAATTTACTTTTATCATTACAGTACCAAAGTTATCGAAATATCATTTTTATCCCTCTCAAAACTGCCAGATGTTCAGATATTTTAAATCTTCAAATTTCTGTGATGTTTGTGATGTCTGCTTCTAGGGTGTGTGTGTGTTGAAGTGTTTGGCATGCTGCGAAAGCAGGCCACATTAGTCCATAGCGATTTGTATGTACAAATGTGTACTTCAGCGATTTGTATGTACAAATGTGTACTTTTGATTACTTCTATTCCCGAAGAACTGCCAGATTCTAGATTTTTAAATATACCACATATAAGAAGAATCAGATGCAATGGGGTTTGCAATCACATTCAATGGATTCTAGAAATTTTAGAGAAGGAAAGCTCTTCCTTTTTCCCAACCATTGAGATGTCAACGCACAGGCATGTGCTGCTTCGCAAAGGGAATGCCTCCCGGCTCGGTTAGATTCCTCACTGTGCCAACCTCACAGGGGGCACTGCGGCCGTCATTACAGGTGCCAGACTTGGCATCACCACCCACACGGGGATAAAAAGATGTCAGAGCAGAGCAGCCACGCGGCACCGGGCGGCAGGCATCGCTCGGCTCCATGACTGCGTAATCCTACGGGACCCCCGGGGCATACATTTGGTCCATTGTCGACCCAAATGCCATCTCACCTTTAGACTCTAAGTCAGAAACCTAATCAAAAGTTCAATATGCTCTTCACCCTCTTTAAAATCGGTAAATAACACAAACCTTGAAATGGAACTGAGAGTATGCCTCTAAAGATAAAGCAAAACTAAAAAAAAAAAAAAAAATCAACATCTCGGCTAAATGTTCCGATGACCTATCATCTTTAGAAAAACTGGGCTAGATGGGATAACCCACGGCGTCTCCACGAAGCGCTACACTAAGGGTGGCCAAGCCTAAGTATTTGTGTTACGGTTTTAAACTTGAAACTGGCCATTGCAGACACATGGCCTTTTTGGGTTTGCTTAACTATTTCCTAAAAGAAAACAAACAAACAAAACAAAACAAAACAAAACAAAAAAAACCCCAAACATGTTTATTTTTCGGAGTGTGCTAGGGTACCGCTCAAACCCCAGTCAT